CAAGCTCTTACTAGGCATACTATAAACTTCCTGGCAGGTGTGTTGCGGCAAGTTGGAGCTAAACTCTGCAGGACATCGGCCCTCCAGTAAAATTGAACACAACAGAAGTTAGCATGAACACCTCAAAACACATACCTCAGTACATACAGTAAAATATGTTATAAAATATAATCAAACACTTACTTGTCGAGAGTGACGTCTCCCCCATCCAAAAACATCTCCTCCGCTATCGAGTCAACCGATGAAACATCGCTCTCTTCTTCAGTAATATCATCCTCCGACCCATCACTGTCACGCCGAGTGCATTGCTCCACAACTTTTTCAAGTGAAAAGTTTGTTTTCATCATTCTCTTCGCCATTTTTCACCTGTCAAACTCTCTCCAAGTTCCAACTCTCTCTAAACTGTCTTTGAGCACGGACGAATGCGTCACTGTCACTTTGCGCACGGACACACGAGTCACTGTCATACTTTGCGCACGGAGCTATGTGTTGACAGGTTGAACCGTCCCGCTAAAGCTGCATATTAATTTAATTGGATCAGATAAGACCGTCTAAACGTTTGAGACTACGTTGACCTAGCTGGATGACAGTTAATTTGAGAGGGCGGCACCATCCTTCATCCTGGGCTCTCTTTGGCTATCGCTGCCTGTTGAAACCTCTTAGATGCAGCTATTGGTTCAAATGAGGTGTCAATCAAAAGGGAAGAGGTCAGCGGCCATTTTGACATCAATAAATCCATACTGTTTACATGTGAAAACAAGCTATACTTCAGAATGCGCCGAAGATTTGATTGCTCTATCAGCTAATTTGAAATGATACTACTATGTTCCTTGGATGTTTATTGACATATAAATGTGTTATGGACTAAATATTTCACTGAATTGGATTGACTGGACCCTTTATAGTGTAACTACACCATTTTTGTTGGAATGTTTTGGATCAGTGGACTATCAGGAGGCTTCATAGGTGAGTTCCTTCAGTTTTGTTATTGTTTATTTGGTTGTTGGTGGTCTGACAAAGACATTGATTGTACCTGCTGTGTTGATTATATCTTAAAATGCATCATCTGAATCACAAGAATCTCAGCTTTCCAAAGATATGGGACATGTTCAGCTTTTTGTTTATTTGAGTTTTTGTATTTCACAACTTTAACCTCTAACACACGCAGTGTACTGCCGACACCAGTAGTGTACATACTAACCATGCTCCTAACTGCCGAACAGAGCTCTAGGGAGCAAGCACTCAGCATAACAACCATCTAAATCGAGGGGAGTGCAATCATCCACCCTTATGGATCAGCGTACTCAGTACAAAGACCCTCAAGTGAGGGGAGTAATTGAAAGCTCGACCTGAAGAGCGACTAATCAAGGAGGCCCACAAGAGCCTAACAACCTAAAACAGCCACAGAGCTCTGTTGAGAGATTACTAGGAACTGTGATCTAAGCATAGTGACCCTTAAAGGGAGGGGTGCTACCAGGCTCAAGAACAGCTGATCAGGGAGGTTCACAGAGAGCCTTACAACCAGAAATAATTGCAAAACAAAAATACTAGGGAGCAGAGTGCTCAGCATAACTCTCTAGGCGAGAGGAGCAGAAACCATTGCTCAACCTAAATACATGTACCTTGGCTGAGAGGATGAGGAGGCTCAGAGGAGGCTCAAACAAGAGTCTAACAACTCAAAAGACTTGCTATTACACCAATTCAGGAGCCACCTTCACCAATAATGTAGATATCAGAGGTTTTCGGCATTTGAACTACAATCAATATCTCACATTATACACAGTTCCTATTCTGTAAAATAAATAGAAACAAAAAGGAATTCTGAAAGAGAAAGCACTCCCCATCAGATTCCTTTCATGCCCCGCCTACAATCCCCGTGATCGGTCTGACTAACTGCCTCGGCAGCCACGAGACCCGAAACGTGGGTGAAAGGTGCTCAGTTCTCAAAGAGAATCAAGCATACAAGGCATTCTCAACGCGATCACATCTCGCAGAGTGGCTATATCTCCTTCGAGAGCCAAAAAACACACTGTTCAAACACTAAGTTCCCTCAAGAATCAGGCAAGAACAGAAACCTCCACGAATGGATTGCATTAAGCTTGTTCAACTCCTTCGAGATGCGAACACGCTTGTGCAAACGCTGACAAAAACTCGAGTACAGACCTCTGCTCTAGTACTTCTGCGAATGCAAACAGTGAGCGCATCCTTCTCTCTCGTGAGTCAAATGCATGTGCTTCCGTACGCAAGGTTTGAAGACAAAGGAGAGGATGACATATTCCACAGGTGCTCTTTTATACCCGCAGTCGCTTTATTGTTTACGTCATAGGCTGCTGCCTGCCAAAGTCAAGTTCATTGTCGTTTTTTTTTATTCATGCTTCATGACACCGGTCACGCTGAAGGCGTTCCCCTAGTGCCCTCTAAAGGACGCAGCGTTGAGTTCCCTTTCAAAAGGAAACATTATATTTCACACACTTTAAGCTATTTTATTTTTCAAATGTAATCGGATTAGTCCAACGAATCGAATCGTTCAGTTTGTAATGCGTACTGAACTGAAAGCCTCGTACCGAAGGGTTCAATATGAATACGTATATATATATATATATATATCACAACTTGCCCGCCACCTCCTCCTGTGGAGTCAGAAGCATCTGAGGTCCCATCGTGCCATCCACATCCCGGGAGTGTTCAATCGGGCAGCCGACGAGCTGTCTCGAGTAGCACTTCCAGGAGAGAGGAGACTCAACCCCCAGGCAGTTCAGCTGATCTGGAGACGGTTCGGAGTTGCTCAGGTAGACCTGTTTGCAGCGTCCATGTGGCCGCGATTGCTGCGTATCACGACCCCGTGGAAGGGAAATCGGTAGGGAGGCATGATTTGGTCATCAGGTTCCTTAGGGGGGCGAGAAGGTTAAATCCTCCCCGCCCCCCTCTATACCCTCTTGGGTATATATTTTTAATATATAAAAATATTATAATATTTAATTTAATATATAATATATTTTTACAGCTCCTCTCTCAGGAGCTCTGCTGAGAACAGGTCGATTTTCGCCTGTCTAATTAATATTCATGAGCCTCTCTTCTGATTGGCCTGTTGTTTTCTGAGTGATTCACAGCGCTAGCTGGAGGCAGCAAAACAAAGGGGAAACTGGAGGCGGCCCATTCAAACCAGCG